TATCAGAATTCATTCATCTATGCAGAGATGTAGAAAAATTAAAAAATAAATTTTTAAGCCTTAGATGTGCTTGTCTTTACATATGACTCAAAAAGATAAGCTACTTTGAAAGAAAAAGTTAACTAGACAAATGTTTCTGGAAAAGTACAGATCTGGTGGCAGAAAGTCTGATTCTTGCTTGCAAGGAGCCAAGATATGGTACACACTCTGTCTTTATATGATGTTAATTCAGGTTATTGTCTGCCAGACAGTTTCATTTTGCAAAGGAAAAAATCTAATCACAAAAAAAGAAAATTAAAAGAGTGCTAGGTCATCCTGTCCATGCTGCTGTTCAGTGAAAGGTAGCTCCTTACAGTATATTATTTTGCACTTTGTGTAAATGGAAGAGGCTTATATTTATTTTTTATGTGATCACCGGGTTTGAGAAAAATCCTGTTGTATGTGATGACAATACAATTTTATTAAATTAAAATGCAAGATAATCTGTCTCAAATTAGTGGTCAAGTATAAGTGTATGTGCTTATCTGTATTAAATATTAAATTCCTATATATTTTATAAAAATAATAATGCAAGGAACAGGAGTTAGACCTACTATTTGCTTTTATCTTTAAAAGTTAGAATTTGATTGACTTGTCTCTACATTTCTGCTGGCTAGGAAGTGGGGTGGGAAAGCTCAAAAGTACTGATAAAATGATGAACTATACTTGAATGCTTAAACCCACGATAGGATTTTAAATATCGGCATAGAGAGTACGCTTATTAAGTTTGCAGATGATGCAAGCTGGGAGGGGTTTCAACTGATTTGGTGGACAGGGTCATAATTCAAAATGATCTGGACAAATTGGAGAAATGGTCTGATGTAAACAGGATGAAGTTTAATAAGGACAAATGCAAAGTGCTCCACTTAGGAAGGAACAATGCATTTCACACATACAGAATGGGAAGCGACTATCTAGGAAGGAGTATGGCAGAAAGGGATCTCGGTGTTATAGTGGACCACAAGCTGAATATGACTCAACAGTGTGACGCTAACAAAAAAAGCAAACATGATTCTGGGATGCATTAACAGGTGTGTTGTGAGCAGGACACGAGAAGTCATTCTTCTGCTCTATTCTGCTCTGGTTAGGCCTCAGTTGGAGTATTGTGTCCAGGTCTGTGCTCCACATTTTAGGAAAGATGTGGAAAAATTGGAGAGGGTCCAGAGAAGAGCAACAAGAATGATTAAAGGTCTAGAGAATATAACCTATGAAGGAAGGCTGATAGAATTAGTCTTGTTTGATTTGGAAAAGAGAAGATTGATAGTGGTTTTCAGGTATCTAAAAGGGTGTCACAAGGAGGAAGGAGAAAAATTGTTCTTCCTGGCCTCTGAGGATAGAACAAGAAGCAAACTGCAGCAAGGGAGGTTTAGGTTGGACATTAGGAAAAAGTTCCTAACTGTCAGGGTGGTTAAACACTGGAATAAATTCCCTAGGATCGTTGTGGAATCTCCATCTGTGGAGATATTTAAGAGTAGGTTAGATAAATGTCTATCAAGGATGGTCTAGACAGTACTGGGTCCTGAAATGAGGGCAGGGGACTGGAGTCGATGACCTCTCGAGGTCCCTTCCAGTCCTAGTATTCTATGATTAACAGCGTATATAAACAGATCAGAATAACAAGACTTATAAGAACATCACTGTAAAACAGATAGTATTGCTGTCTAGGGGCTCGGCTTTATATTTAGCTCTAAATTACAAATGTAGTTCTGTGTCAGAGGAGACTGTCTGGGCTGTCTTCACAACTGGACAAGAGCCAGAGGAGGAAGCTTAGTGGTGGGAGTGGGAGCTCGGCAGTGATACTTACGTCAAATAGGAAAATGGAACCAGGACAATTCTCAATAGGGAAGTTGGTTTAAGGGTTGAAGTGGATTGTGTAGTGGGGCCCTCGGAACCAGAGCGGGAAGCAGAAGAGTACCATAACTGTTGCATACTAGGCATCTGATAAGGGAGAGGCACTCAAGGTAAGTTGCTTGCAACCCTATTCCTTTCCTGCACCCTGAGTTTCCTAACCAGCGCCTTTCCTGCTCAGAGTTTTTCCTTCAGTATCTTTTCTTCTGGTTCTGCTTAGGGATGTTAAATAGCAGGTAATAGAATAGTCAACTAACTGCATGAATATTTAGCGGTTATCGACTATTCTATAGCTTCTGGGACCGGGACCAGGGCCAGCAGCCAGTACAATCTGGCCCAACTCCCAGGCGCTCCCTGCTACCCCATACTGTTTCCTCTGTATCAGAGACAGCAACGCAGGGTGCTTGGCGGGAGCCGGTCTGCAAGGGGAGCCAGTTTAAAAACTAGCTCCCTTCGCAGACTGGCTGCCTGCTGCCCCATGCTGCTGCCTCTGATACAGACGCAGCAGCACAGAATGGTAGCAGCCCTGTCCATGGGGGGTCTGAGCTCCCCACGGACAGAGGTTGCTGGGGGCGGGGGAGGAAGTGGGGAAGGCTGCCGCAAGGCAGCTTCCCCTGGCCCCCCTCCTCCCTGCGCTACTGCCTCTGATAAAGGCAGCAGCATGGCGGGGGGTGGCAGGCGGATCCGGTGCTGTGGGGAACTGGCTTTTAAGCCGTCATCCTCCAGCACTGACTCCTGCTTCCCCTTCCCCTTGCTGCCTCTAATACAAAGGCAGCAAGTGGTGGGGAGAAATGCAAGTTGACTGCTCATTCACATCCCTAGTTCTGCTGTATTACTGCTTTTTTATCAGCAGTTTCTTCTTTTTAACTTCCATGTTCAGCCATTACTGCTACTCTCAGTCTAGTATAACTTTCCTTGTCACTTTCACAAGACTTTCTCCTTTCATTCAGTCAGACAGCCTTTTGCTGTAACTGCAACACCAGCACCTCTGATTCTCCACAACAGTTCCCACAAACTTTGCTAGCTTTTTCAGGATCTGGTTCCCTTCCCAAAGAGAGAGGCTCAGCATGGGTCACCCACCTCCCAAAAGGTCGTGCTCGTAACACGTATGCTGAAGATGGCACAGTAGTGGTTGATGACATAACAATGACAACATTTTCCAGCATGTTAGCCTGATTCTGATCTTAGTTGTGCCAGCATAAGTCTGGATTTGCTCCAGCATAGCTGAGACCAGAATTTGAAGTTTTACATGTTGATGGTGAGTGTGGTATAGGGAGACATAGAATTAAGATTGGCATCAGAACCTTTCTTTCAGAGTGTTGACTTTTTACCATTAAATTTTGTGACTTAAAATGTTACAGTAAATTTTAAGTTTTGTACAGCAACAAGCTTTTAATTTAATTATAAATTATTAGTAAATTTAGAGAATTATTTTTAGCATTTAGTTTAGTAGTGTTGTATACAAAAAAGCATCCATCCTTTTTATGAAGCTGTTCAGGCTTTTGGTTGTGACTGAAGTTACACAGCATCTGAGATAAACTAATCCAGGTTTGAGCCTATTTTTATATATATATATATATATATATAATTCACTAGATAGCTCTTCGGAAAACAGCCTTTAACCAACAGTTTTGGGGTCTCAAACCAAATTTAGAACTTGTAACCTGGGATTCTGCATAACTTTTCAATTCTAATTACCAAGTTCCCGTGGATGCATATGTTTCCAGTGTACTTATCTACGCTGTTCATAAATTATTTTAACTCTCTTCCCAAAATTAATTTTGCAGTTAACCCTTATATTTAAAGAGAAACTCACTACATACCAAGAAACTGCCATTGAGAAAATAGATTCTTGGCCTGCGTGATTGTTCTCTAGTGTTGGAGCTGTTCATCGAGCCATTCCTTACTGTCCCAGTGTCAAAGGCTGAGCCCTGTTCTGCTTACTGTCTCAAATGAGTATTCTCATGCATGTTAGTTCTATGAAAGTCTGTATGACAGTTCTTCTGGATAAGTGTCACTTAAATGAATGAGTCAGGACTATAGGAGCAAACCTGTATTTTGTAACTAGAAGATTTACCCAGCATTGCTCAGGTCCTTAACTCAATTAAGGTGTTTTTTTTTTTTTTGGAAACTAAAATGAAAATGTACACATTTCATTTAAATCATTGCTCTGGGGTGGTGCTGGGGAGGAGGGGTTCAGTCAGCAGGCTGCCCCAGGAGAGAGGACTACCCCCAGCCCTCGCTCACCGCAGAAGCTTGGGCTCAGGTGAAAAGCGCTTCTCAGTGGCCACTGGATCTCCAGTGGGCACTGCCGGTGCAGGGTACATGTTCCCTAGTTGGGGCAGTTCCAGGCTTATGCGCCCCCTGTGTGTCCCCAGCCAGAATGAGGAATGCAGTAAATTGTGCATTTTCCCTCGCTCCCTGATGAAAGGGAAGAATCCCGCAATGTTCCTGTACAAATCCAGGGGAAGAGGAGTTCAGCTACCTCACCTTCCCTAAATGGTACCTGAGAACGGGAGACTCTGTACTGGGGCATTCCCAGAGGGGGGGGGGGGGCACCCTCACCCTCACCCTTTTACTTGTCTGGTAATTGTCTCTTTTCTGTATGATTTTATAAGGAACAGTCCCATTCGGTTTTCCTGGCACGACCAAACCCTAACCTTGCTTTGAGTTATGATAATATTAAGCTGTATACCGAATTTGGTGGTTCTAGCTCTTAATGTTTATGAGTTCTTAAACAGATGGACAGACACACAGACAGACAAATTCTCTCAAATATATAGTAGATATGAGGAAATGCTTACCCCAGTATGTTGCTCTAAAAATGGAAAATATTGTTGACATTTTGCTTTTTTCCTTATTAAAGTGTGGATTGGGAATAAAAAATATGCTGTCAGTAGGGTTTTTTAAGTACTTGTTTTAATTAGTTTTACAAAATAACCAGTCCCTCTACTGAAACATTCAGCAGCTGTCAAGATTTATGAAAACTCAGCAGCATTGTGTTGCGATGTTTTATTATCATGCTTAACAGCTCTTTAGGAAATTTTATAATGTGGTGTTTTTCTTTTGTGTTTTCCTTTGTTTTTAATTTCTTAAATGATCCCTCTTTTCAGATTTCAAATTATAATCCTTTTCCTGATCCATTGCTGAAGCCCCGTGATCCATGTCAGAAGTACTTCAAGGTCAGATGCCCTTTCACATATTTCCATAAACAGAATCTTTTAAAATCTTTCTCTTCTTATCAGGCCCATATTGGTTTTAATTTTGCATTCTAGAGTGAAATAAGCAAACATGTTCCCTTTCACACACACACCCCCCCCCCCAACTGATCCCATTCTTAAGTAAATTCTTGCTTTAGGAGAGGTTTTTAAAAGCAGAATAAAGTAGTCACAAATATGTTTTATTTAAAATATTTATGTTCTGTTTATATACTAATTTTGTTGTGCTTATAGCCAAAAATAAAAGTCCTTCACTTTATGAGGTTTATGTCCTGGCTTTTGAAAAATATTGAATAGGGCCGCTTAGTTAATTGTATTATAGTAGTGTCCCACTCACAATGTGAACTCATTATGTCTGGCACTGTACAAATGTGAAATAATTCTGGCCGAATCATGGATCAGTATTTGGCTAAAAATAGGAAATAGTGTAGGAATAAATAGTCAGTTTTCAGAATTGAGAGAGGTGAACAATGGAGTTACCAAGAATCTGGCCTGTTCAACATGTTCATTAATGATCTGGAAAAAGGTGTGAACAATGAAAAGACAAGGTTTTCAGGTGATATAAAATTTTGTAATATAGTTAATCTCAAAGCTGATTGCAGAGAATTATAGGGGGGTATCAAATTCAACATTGGTAAGTGCAAAATAATGCACACTAGAAAAAGATAATAATTGGTTGTTACCACTCAAGAACAAGATTTTTTTAGTTACTATGGACAATTCTCTGAAATATTTGAGCAGCAGTGGTCAAAAATGCTAACAATATTAGGCACTATTAGGAAAGGAATAGAAAATAATATAAAGCATAATGCCTTTACATAAATCCATAGTACACCCACACCTTGAATATAGTGTCCAGGTTTGCTTGCCCTGACACCAAAGGGCTATAGTGGAACTGGATGATCAAAGGTTGGCAGGCAGAAAGGTGAAGTGTATTCATGTAAAGGCAGTGCTGTATGGTGTACTGGAAAATGTGAAATAGAGTTGGGGTCAGCACCTCCCTTGCTTTGCCTCTTGTGTCATCACTTATACATCTGAGTGAAGTGAGCGGAAAGCACTCCCAAATCAAAAGGGTAATATGGAGGGGGAAAGATGGCTTGGAACTGGCTTGGACCTCTGGGGAATTGATAAGAAAACCTTAACTATGATATTTAATCAAGTGAAAATGGTTGCACCTGAATCTGAATTAAAGGAGGTGAATGAAGAGATGCCAAAAGAAATCTAATTTGGTGGAGTTCTGAATAGCAAATTATGATATGCTTCCTCTGCAAAAGCTGAATGAAAACATCTTATGCCTAAAGTAGAGTGTTATCTTTTCCTTCTTACTCTTTGCCTTTATGTTCTCTTTCTCTCCTCACTCCCACCTTTCTTTGAGTAATTTAAGCCCTTCCTAAGCGCTCATATTCTCCAGTACTTGCAGTAATTCTTTCTCAGGCAGTGTCTTCCAACCTTGATGGATAGGAAGTGCTCTTCACGACTGTATGGATTTTCTCCACATATATCCCCTAGTTTGTTGTTGGCCCCCATTATTTCTCATCTTCACTTCACCTTTTTGTATGCTCTCACTTTGTCAGCTATTGATCTGGCTCCAGCTCCTTTTCACCCTAATTTCTTCCTGTCTAACCATTTGGTTCCTTCTCCTCCTTTGCTGTCTTCTTTCTATTCTGGTTCTCCTCTCCCTGATGCATACTCCTGTCCAATCCTTCCCGCAACCCTTAATACTAATTCCCAACTCATCTGTTTCTATCTGATGCTACTCCCAGCTTAGCTTAATACTTCAGTTTCAGGTAGAACAAAAGAGTGGAACACAAATCATAGGCACTCTGGAGATAAGTGGTAGTGTAGAAACAGCATTTTGTAAATGAATGTGTAGAAGAGTATGAGGGCAGAATCAATGGAAGAAATATGCTTCATGAGAGGACATACTGTCCTTACCCCTCTGTCTCATCTAAATAGGTGCACTCTTTAGCTTATGAAGATTAGGAGTTGTTCATGTAAGTTAATGTATACCACTCATAAACAACAGTGAGGTGTACAGTAACTTCAAGTTCAGCCTTTTAAAACCTAAGCTCATTATTCACTTTCTAGGAACGAGTCAATATATCTGGTGTATCAGTGCCGGATCTTTATTGAGTAGACTCAGAATCGTATTGTTTTCTACATTATATCTCCATATATTGATTTTTGTCAGGATGTGTTTGAACTACCTAGGAAGGTGTCTTTTTTAAGAATTCTTTTCCACACAAAAAATAACTAGAACAACATTGCAGGGGACATTGGGATCTGTAGAACAGGGCTCCCTGCTTGTAAACTATTAAGTTGTTTATAAATTGTAATCTTGTTATTTCAGATTCTCTCAGAATTGTGTTGGAATGTACTATGATCTGATTTCAAAAACTGGCCTTGATAAATAGCATGCAGTTGTGGACACTATACTATAAACTGTCAGGGATCACAATTATCAATTCCTTAAAAGTTTTACATAAAATATATTGGTTGATCACAGAATGACAATGAACCACTAGTGTGGTGCGGGTATGAACCACTAGTTGTGGTATGGGCACAAAATGAGCTCAAACTAGCTATGGAAATAAAGGGAAACAAGAAGACTTTTTATAAATACATTAGAAGCAAGAGAAAGACCGAGGACAGGGTAGGCCCACTGGTCAGTGAGGAGGGAGAAACAGTAACAGGAAACTTGGAAATAGCAGAGATGCTTAATGACTTCTTTGTTTCGGTCTTCACCGAAAAGTCTGAAGGAATGCTTAACATAGTGAATGCTAGTGGGAAGGAGGGAGGTTTAGAAGATAAAATAAAAAAAAGAACAAGTTAAAAATCACCTAGAAAAGTTAGATGCCTGCAAGTCACCAGAGCCTGATGAAATGCATCCTAGAATACTCAAGGAGCTGATAGAGGAGGTATCTGAGCCTCTAGCTATCATCTTTGGAAAATCAAGGGAGACAGGAGATATTCCAGAAGACTGGAAAAGGGCAAATATAGTGCCCATTTATAAAAAGGGAAATAAGAACAACCAAGAAACTACAGACCAGTTAGTTTAACTTCTGTGCCAGGGAAAATAATGGAGCAAGTAATTAAGGAAATCCTCTGTAAACACTTGGAAAGTGGCAAGGTGATAGGGAACAGCCAGCATGGGTTTGTAAAGAATAAATCATGTCAAACCAATCTGATAGCTTTCTTTGCTAGGATAACGAGTCTTATGGATAAGGAAGAAGCGGTGGATGTGGTATACCTAGACTTTAGTAACGCATTTGATACGGTCTTGCATGATATTCTTATCAGTAAACTAGGTAAATACAACTTAGATGGTGCTACTATAAGGTGGATGCATAACTGGCTTGATAACCGTACTCAGAGAGTAGTTATTAATGGTTCACAATCCTTCTGGAAAGGTATAACAAGTGGGGTTCTGCAGGGGTCTGTTTTGGGATTGGCTATGTTCAATATCTTCATCAACTATTTAGATATTGGCATAGAAAGTACACTTATTAAGCTTGCAGATGATACCAAGCTGGGAGGGGTTGCGACTGCTCTGGAGGATAGGATCATAATTCAAAATGATCTGGACAAATTGGAGAAATGGTCTAGATAAACTGGATGAAGTTTAACAGAGACAAATGCAAAGTGCTCCACTTAGGAAGGAACAATCAGTTTCACACATACAGACTGGAAAGCGACTGTCTAGGAAGGAGTATGGCAGAAAGGGATAGGAAGGAGTATGGCAGAAAGGGATCTAGGTGTTATAGTGGACCACAAGCTGAATATGAGTCATCAGTGTGATGCTGTTGCAAAGAAAGCAAACATGATTCTGGGATGCATTAACAGGTGTGTTGTGAGCAAGACATGAGAAGTCATTCTTCCGCTCTACTCTGCACTGGTTAGGCCTCAGTTGGTGTATTGTGTCCAGTTCTGGGCACCGCATTACAAGAAAGATGTGGAGAAATTGGAGAGGGTCCAGAGAAGAGCAACAGGAACGATTAAAGGTCTAGAGATCATGACCTATCATAGAATCATAGAATAATAGGACTGGAAGGGACCTCAAGAGGTCATCGAGTCCAGCCCCCCGCCCTCAAGGCAGGACCACGCTCCGTCTACACCATCCCTGACAGATGTCTATCTAACCTGTTCTTAAATATCTCCAGAGAGGGAGATTCCACCACCTCCCTTGGCAATTTATTCCAATATTTGACCACCCTGACAGTTAGGAATTTTTTCCTAATGTCCAATCTAAACCTCCCCTGCTGCACTTTAAGCCCATTACTCCTTGTCCTGTCCTCAGAAACCAAGAGAAACAAATTTTCTCCTTCCTCCTTGTGACACCCTTTTAGATATTTGAAAACCACTATCATGTCCCCCCTTAATCTTCGTTTTTCCAAACTAAACAAGCCCAGTTCACGAAGCCTGGCTTCATAGGTCATGTTCTCTAAACCTTTAATCATTCTTGTCACTCTTCTCTGTACCCTTTCCAATTTCTCCACATCTTTCTTGAAATGTGGCGCCCAGAACTGGACACAGTACTCCAGCTGAGGCCTAACTAGTGCAGAGTAGAGCGGCAGAATGACTTCACGAGTTTTGCTTACAACACACCTGTTGATACAACCTAGAATCATATTTGCTTTTTTGGCAACAGCATCACACTGTTGACTCATATTCAACTTGTGGTCCACTATGACCCCTAGATCCCTTTCCGCCATGCTCCTTCCTAGACAGTCGCTTCCCATCTTGTATGTATGGAACTGATTGTTCCTTCCTAAGTGGAGCACTCTGCATTTCTCCTTATTAAACCTCATCCTGTTTACCTCTGACCATTTCTCTAACTTGCTAAGGTCATTCTGAATTATGTCCCTATCCTCCAAAGAAGTTGCAACCCCACCCAGTTTGGTATCATCTGCAAACTTAAAAACAGGCTGAAAAAATTGGATTTGTTTAGTTTAGAAAAGAGAAGA